GTTTGGGGTTTAGGGCTCTGGGTTTAGGGTTTAGGGCTTAGTGCTTAGGGTTTAGGATTTCGGGCTTCGGGTTTATGGTGTTGGTAGTCTACTGGGTTTCGGGTTTCAGGCCATGACGCCTTTCGGATGTCGGTATATATCATCGGTTTCCGGAATAAGGGTTTCTAGTGTTTAGGGTTTAGGGTGTAGGGTTTCTAGTGGCTTTTGTTAAGAACCGAAGGCTTCGTAGGGGCTTCCAAAAAACAGGCCCTGGGACGCCCAAACCTAATATGGGTTGTAAGTATAGTTACCCTACTTATAAGCCCATTTACAACTACCCATGAACCTCCAAGTAGACTCGCTAAGCCGTACATGGTTTACCTGTCGCTGCCCTTCTTCCAGGATTCCGGCTGGTGGAAGTTCGTGACGAGATCTTGGACCACCTCGGTGTGCCAGAAAGAAAACCGAGGAAAACTCAACCCTACCGGGTGATGTTTTAAATCCGGCAGTACCCGTATGAAGGAATATACCAGAATTCCCATAGTTCAGGGTCCTTAAGGTAATGCAGGATTTATATCATCAACACAACCCCCCCCTTGAAGCCTGCTTTTTAACAAAACGAATCCCCTCACTCCGTTAAAGCGCTCTATAACAAGTGATTTTGCAAGGGTCCCAGGAGGGTTCTATAAGAGGGGTTCTTTCCGCAAACCCTACCTGAACCTGTTTAAGGTAAGAAAGACTTCGTAACGAGGGGAATCCTAAAATTGCCACAAAGTTTCGGTGCTTGATGCAAAAATCTTCAGCTCAATCTTGGCAAAAATAACAGGACCCTAAACCCCTAATGTTACTAAGCCCTAAAGCCCTGATCATAAATGGCTCAAATTACCCTAATCAGGCCGCAAACCTCCCATCGGAAACCCCCAGTTGGAGAGACCTCTAGATATCTACTTAGGGTTTTGGGGTTTAAATGTATATACACCACTATTAAGCACTTTTGAACAAACCTTCATAGATACCCTTTTATAAACCCCCAAATACACCCCCACAAGGCCCTGTAAACCCCACCTTGAACTCGTAGCCTGGGACGATGCACAAACTCGTAGAGCCAGCCACCTCGGCCAGCAACACTACGGCGGCAATCTGAGCGGAGGGGCCTAACTATATAGCTCGAACTTTACGGTTTAGGGTTTAGGGTGTAGGGTAACTACACAAGGGCGAAAATGGGATGTTCTTCCGGAGCAAGCAAGGGTTGAAGGGTCACATTTTGTTTGCAGCCTGGGATGACTACCCTAAACCCCAAACCCTATACCCTAAACCGCAACATGAAACCAACCTAAACCCCGCTCCGATATCATCCCTGCGGTTCGTTGTTGGGTCGGGCTTCGGGTTTGGGATATATTGCGTAGGATAAATCCAACCCCAAACCCAGACCACCGGAAGGATCTGAAAAGTAGAGCCTCTAATTTGGGACCCTATAGTACTAAGGGGTACTTTAAAGGAACCCCCTTAAATTAGGGGATCTATGTTTTAGATCCTTCCGGTGATCTGGGAACCCTACACCCCTAACACCCCGAATCCTACATTGACGCCGAGAGACCTGGGTTAACCCGACTTTCTTCGCCTCGTCGCAGAGTCCCTGCAGCGCCTCTGCTGCAGGTAAGCCACCGGCACCCTCCTCCCGGGACAAGGGTTGTGGGTTGTCGGGGTTCGGGGGGGGCTTAGATTTGAGTGCTCTTACCATGGGAATACCTACATAAACGACATATACATATATGTACATACACACATACATACATACATACATACATACATACATACATACCTACGTACGTACATACCTACGTACATACATACATACATACATACATATACATATATATATATATACATATATATATATATTTGTATGTGTGTGCGTATAGACAGATAGAGAATCTTCTTCCTCCACTACGCTTTTGATTCTGTAATGGATGGTAACAGTATGGCTTTGGAGCGTTTCGGGCGTCTGGGGCACGGGTCCAAAAGATGAAGGCCTAATTAGGGCTTAGGGTTTAGGGTTTCGGGCGTTTCGGGCGTTTAGGGCGTTTAGGGGGTTTAGGGGGTTTAGGGCGTTTAGGGGGTTTTAGGGTTTAGGGTTTAGATTTCTGTCTGTAGCGAGGTTCACAGTGGAGTGCACAACGCTGAACATTGAGGAGAAGGCGGGTTTCGAGAATGCTCGCCAGAGCCTTTTTTTCTCGATTCTCCTTCAACCCAAATCCTGGGTTCTTGTTAAGGAATTTAGTTTAAGTTACCACAATAGGGATCTATGGTAAATAATATGGTTTCCTTATTATGATAACTTAAGTTAAATCCCTTAACAAGAACCCAGCAATCCCCGAACCTTAGATCCTACACTTAAACCTGAGCTACTTTCTCGCTCCTCCTTCATAGGGTCTGATAAAGGCTCGTAGGGCTTTGATATAGACGCCTGTACAGTTGCGAAATGCTACTGTACTCCTTGTGGAACTATAGTAGAATATCCCGGCAAGCCCCATTCCAATTACCAGGGCCCCTTCTGGGGAACCCTGCAAGTAACCAGGGAAAGGGCCCCTCCTCCTTCATGGGTCTTATCAGAGCTTTCTAAGGTTTCGTGGGGCTGTAGAAGTCTTTATGGGGCTTTATAAGAGCTCATAGGGTTGATGATATATAAATCCTGCATTACCCCATCATAAGGAATATACCATATTTCCCAGAGCTTAGGGTCCTTAAGGTAATGCAGGATGTATACCATCAACACCCTAAACCCTAAACCCTAAACCCTAAGCCCTAAGCCCTAAACCGTGGTTTTCAAGGGCTCGTTTGTAGCTTTGCTCCTCCTTCATGCTGTAGGCTTCCCACTGTCCCAGGTGGAGGCCCTGTGCCAAGCTTCGCTGTGGGTTGCTGGCCAACCAGTAGAGCGATTCGAGGGTCCGGACTGTGGTGGTTCCCACAGCAACCACCTGGGCTTTAGGGCTTCAGGGTTGAACGGTGTAGAGTTAGAGTTTTGGGGTATAGGGTGTAGGGTTTAGGTTTGCAGGGTTTAGGGTTCAGGGGTTAGGGATTCAGGGCTTCGGGTTTGCGAGGATTTACCGTTGGGCGGCTTCCGGGTAGGCTCTGGCTTAGAACCATCAAACGCTAAACATCAGAGGGCCTGTACTAGCTTACTCGTTTACTGCAGATTACTATCTGAAAATGATGCCAGAGAAAATAGTTCGAGACGAACGGGCGTCGCAACATGTGCCACATAAACACATATGTATATATATATATACACATACATATATACATATATACATTCATACATACATTCATACATACATTCATAGGTACATACGTACATACGCACATACGTACATACATACATACATACATACATATACATCATATATGCATGCATGCGTGCATGCATGCATACACAACTCATACACACCCACCCACGCACGCACACACGAACGAACGAACAAACGAACGAGCAAGCAGGCAAACAAGCAAGCAGGCAAAAACTCTTTAGATTATCGGGCAGTGCTATTCGCGTTTATGCCGGTATGACGTTGCTAGGTTGGGGCTTGGTAAGGGTTAAAGTCTGGGATTTCCGATCTGACACGTGTTTCCGGATTCGGGATGTAGAATTCCGGACCGAGGAACCAGATTTTTGAGCCTGGCTCAGCTTTTATGCTTGAAGGCTTCGCTTGCGGCCAGAGGGCTTCTTAGGCTTACAAGCTTGGGATTAAGAATTGGGGCGGCTTTCCTGCAACGAAGCTCTAACGTGTGAGGGCGGTGCTACAGATGGACCTATTCACATCTAAGTCTGGGCCCTGAATCCTGAAGATGATAACATGCACGCAAGCGCATAACGTCCATCCTACCAGCACACACATGTCCGCTTCCGCGGCACTGAAGACAGTTAAGTCCATTGGCTCAGGTATGCTCGGATAGGCCAGGCCCCGGCAAGAGAGAGACGGACGTGACGAGGGTCAGCGTGGCGAATAGAGGTGTGGCTAATAGAGTCGCCACGGGGGAGGTCGCCCACAATCCCCTTATGCCTTGCAAAAGTTCAAACCACCAAAAGAGGAGCCCGAACCGGCCGGGAAGCCTGCAGGAGGCAAGAGCAGCGAAAATTGCAGGAGGCCAGTCGGCTTGTGGCCGTCAGGCCGCAGAGGGGTCTGCCAAGAGGAGGCTCAACGGCTTGGCTCGCGTTTTGTGACGACCTGGGTCATGTGGCTTGCCCAGCGTCTATAGAACAAAAGCGAAGGATGAAGCGGATGGGGTCGCAGAGGAGGCACAACCCGCGAAGGGAGGCACGAGGGCCTAGGGCCTAAGTCCAGCAAATTCATGAGAGTAACCATTACTCTACCAAAGTGGATCTCCAGATCTCTGTCACTCATGCAAACATCCTCACCCTCGCAGGCGGGCTGCCTGAACAGGCGGGGGGGCTTTGCAACGAACCCACTCCACAAATAGCCACAGCAACATTAATCTCCCTCAACCCCCCACCACCACACCCGCCCCTCTTTGCACCCCCCCCGCCCCGAGACCCACAATACAGATGTTCGGAGTGCGGTTGATGTTGGATACCTCGGAGTAATTCTCAAACCTCAATCTGGAATCCTTGAAACCCAAGCCCTAAACCTGACAGCAAGCTGTGAACATCTCCCGTGGCCGTGTCAGGCAGTCTCGGGAGTGCAATCCAGCAATCCACGCTTCACTACAAAGCGAGAATCTATTTTTTCTGGCATGGCTGCTTTGAGTTGAATTGTTTCTCTAGAAAAATAGCCTCATGGGTGTGCGCACTCCTGGATATCCATGCAGCCACCTTTGTCTTGGACAAAGGAAAGCAGCAACCAGTGAGAATAATTCGAAACCATGTCAACACGTATTTAGCCAAAAAAAGCTTAAGCCAGACGGCTTGACAAGCCTCACAACTCATTTTTGAGTTTACAATCATACTGGCACCAGCTCGTCTTCTGCAGACTCGAGCTCAGGCATCGATGAACCTGTCTCGCTCAGAATCCTCTGCACCTTTCTTCTTGCCTGAGCAGCGAAATCAAGAGCACTGCGGCCTCGACTTTTCGGAAGCCTGGGATCGGCTCGTGCGTGCAAAGGAAGGCCAAGAGCTCTTCACACTCCATCACCACACAATAACCGAGTGGTGATGAGCCCCAGGCGCTTGTGCATTTCACAAATTCTGAAGAGTTTCGTCGATAACTCGCAACAGCTCTGCTGGTCAGCTCCATGATGCGAGGAAGCCCCTGCAGCTGGGCAACTTGGTTGACGTTTGCTCTCTTGTCAAGGAGGAGCTGTGCGGTCTCAATGAGATCTGGATTCTCCTCAAATCCAAAGGAAAGCAAACCCAAGGGCGACACGTTTCCAGCTCCTCCGGTGCCCGCTTCACCACCATTCACGTTGGCCCGGAGTTCCAAAAGCTTTGCGATCACTGGGAGTGGAGCCTGCTCGCCGATGGCGACCTGGAGAGGGAAATACTGCAAAGCGTACTTCCCTCCAGGAAAATTCACATCTGCCTGGTACCGCACCAAGACTTCAACGGCTGCTGGTGTCCTGCAGAATCCCAAAGGTGTAGGCAGAAACGTGGAAGAACTATGAGGGTCCGCCCGCATCTGGAGAAGGGTCTCCAAGGATTCGAGGCAAGTAGAGCGTGCTGCGAAATGAATCGGTGTGCAACCTTCCGGAATACCAACATCGGGTAGTGCTGGTGAGGATGTATGTGGAGAAGCTCTCCGCTCCACCAGGCTACGAAGCATTTCGCGGTCTTGCGCCAACACTGCACAAGCCACAGGTCCGAGGCCCTTGTCTCTGACTGTGTGCAAAGCAAAGTCAGCCATGAACTCATCGAGTCTACGCTGGAATGGAGGTAAGCCGACCATGTGCTCGTACAGCCCAGTGAAAAATCTGAATCTAGCCATGTTTTTCTCAGCTTGCAGCGCCAACAATTTCATGCGTAAGGCTTTGTCAACAACTTCACAGCACGTGCTGCGATCGGCCTCAACTGTGAAATCCCCCGAGTGCGCTGGGTAGCGCATCCACCTTGGCAACATGAACTTGGCAACCTCAGCATCGGTCACTACTGCAACTGGTATCTTGGAATTGCTAGATAGGAGCTTGCACCACAGTTCTGTGCGGCACCAGCCCCTCTGAAGCCAGCTGCGATAATCGCAGGTCTTCATGGAGTGGACGGTGGTGGCCTTGGGGACCAATGCCACAAACATCTGGCAAGTATCCACATAGTCAGGGATGCTCTTGATGTACGTCTGCGCTTCGACGGAATGCGGTCTTACTGGTGCAATGGAAGCATCCATGCATTGGGGAACAGAAAAGTAATCAAACCAAATGTAGCCATCTTCAATCTGTTTGCGTTCATCTGCTCTCAACGTCCGCTGGGCCCCTGCAAGATCGGAAATGAAATCGGTTTGGACCTTTATCTGCCCCGTAATGACGTTCTTCAAGGCATCTTGTAAAACCTTCAACTGTACACCATTTGGGTCGGGGTGTCGAAGACCCAGCCACTGATGTGACACAAATATCACAAAGTGGTTCCTGGCCTTGGCATCATCCCAGCAAACAAGCAAACCCTCGTCCATCAAGGTCTGATGTGGACGAAGCGGTCCTTGCATCTTCAAGACGTCCGTTACTTTCACAACCCACATGGGGGCGTATCTCTCATGCCCAGCACGGGACAAGCTTTCTGCAGCTTTGCTCGCACAGCACCCCATGGCTCCTTCGGGAGGAGATCCTGCTGTAATGTGTTTGCATGCCTATGAGTTGTGTACATCCCACTGGCTCCCATTTGTTTGGCTGTATCCACATCCTGCTCCTCTTAGAATCTTTTCGAGCCAAGCAAGATTGAGGGTTGGCACAAAAGCCAATCGTCCGAGCAGTGCATCTGCTGACTGTGCATAGGATGGACGGAACTAGGCACACAATTACCACTATGCAGCTGGGGCGATTGCAACACGAGTATTCGATCGGAAACAGCTGAACTGCTGAAACCCGAGACCCTAGAGCTCCATCCAAGCTGAATCACAAGCTAGGTGCGAGAAGAAGTCGCAACTGCTCTTTATCGTCCCGTCGCACATGATCCCTCCGGAGCAGGTGGCTTCTTAGGATATCTGGGCTAAAGATAGAGTTCAGCGTCTAAGGATTGGCGTTTGCAGCTTTCGAGGGTCCCAGCTTGTGTTTCAATCAGAAACTCGCCAAGCCCTTCCACATCATAAGGATTAGCGTGTAGGGCTTAGGGCTGGGGGCGCCAAATTTAAAGCTTCAGGCTTTTGATTCAAGCGGCTCAGGTTTGACAAGGGCTGTTGGTCTGGAGCTCGCATAGACTCTAGGGCGATAAAGAGCTGGGATCGTTTTTGTTCGTCTTCTTCGCTCTAGCTTATTTTGCGCCTGAGAATGCCAGCTTAGCTCTGATAGGATTAGGATGTAGGGTTTAGGGTCTCCGGAACTTCCGTACTTCAACGACACTGTAAACCGTAGTGGCCGAAGGTTTTGCACCAGATGAAGGTTGAGGAAGTCTCCAAATAACCCCCAGGTGCCCGTAGGGCCCCTAGCCAAAACCACAAAAAAAAACCGAGGCTTGGGCCTTGGCTCGGCATTCAGAACCACACGCCCGAAATGCCGTGCTGTCACTTCGGCAGCTGGCGCCATGCTTCCGCAAGGTCGAACAAAGCAAGGCCCATAAACACCCTATCTTCAAGGTGTCAGTGCACAACACAAGCAAGCCCCTTTTTCTAAAGCCGTAATTCCCTTCACCAGGCAATCACTAGCCCACTGGCTGCGGTGGAAAACCCAACATGCGCAAAAACATAGAGAAAAAAAACGTCAGTTAGGTTGCCCAGCAAGGGACACAAGTGAGGCGGATCCCCACGCCAAGACTCGAAAGGCTCACCGGTAGACCCAGCTTTTTTTATCCCGTACCGCAAGCCTGCATTGGGCTGCACTGTTTCTTTTTGCGCGAACCTTTCTCCACCCGTCAACCGTTAGCACCTACATTCTACTCTGCCGCTACGGGTAACCAGCGTATCGTCGACGGCAAACCAGGCACCATGCCAGAGCGGGAAGCAGTGGCGTACGACCTCGATGCGCTGGCCGTCGTGGATACGCACATCGAGGTTCATAGACAAAGCAACGCGAACGCGGGCTCCAGCTTCTTGGCAGAACCGTGCGATGGCCCGCTCGATCGGAACGCGTTGGGAGGCGAGGACGCCAGACGTGGCACAAGCGGCGCAGTGGTCGCCGTACTCATCCAATGGGCCTCGGCAGGAGCAGGCACGCGGGCCAAGCGGCACGGGGAGCCGAAAGCGATGGAGGACGAGGATCCGAAAGTGGGACGAGGGGATGGATACATCCTCGGACTGGTGTGAGAGCAAACGTGTGCTCATGACAGGCGTAGGCAGTAGTCCGCTGCCACCCGCGCAGGCAGTCGGAGGGTTTGTCACGGAGGCGCACGTCGGCTTGACCCGGCATCGCTTCTTCCCATCTAGCGACCTGCGTGCTTTCGCTGCGCAGGTAAGACGCTGCTTGCGTGGCGGCTAACACCGAGGGCATTGCGCCAGCAGCTGAGGCCCGGAAGCACTGCATGAGGCGGTCAACGACGCTCCGGGCGCAGAGGCTGTACAAGAGGCGAATGACCGGAAGAGCATCCATCCAAGAGGCACAATAAGCAGCATGGCGAAGCAGTGGAGCATAGCTTCATCGTGCTGATCTGCAAATTCGGCTCAGGCGGCCGGGGGCAAGGACGCAAGAGGTACTTTGACGCGTCACTGCCGGGGGAATGCCGAGTGCCAAAGACCGTCAGCCCGTGGCAGCGCCCGGACCCCGACCCAGACCTGGGTCCAGCTGCAGGTCAAAAATTCCGGGAGACTTCTGTCCCGCGGCGTTCCTCACACGGGTGTTGGAGTGGTTGAACGCGACATGCGCGTGGGCCTACAGCGCGCGCCGGTAGGCCTCAGAAAGCTCGCAAACCCGCTCGGGCGAGGACACGAGGCACGTGTCGTCGAGGTAGGCGAGCTTCAAGGAGTCCCCTTGTTCCCTGCCCTCGTCCTGTGCTACGTGACGTGTGGGGCCTGCTTCGTCAACCCAGGCATAGGCGCTGTAAGAGCCATAGAACTGGCGGCACAAGGGAGGAGTGGGCGCAGCTCCGGGCGAGCCAGAAGGGCGAGCATGTCAGGCTGGGTTTGGGGTCAAGGTGCACGGTGTGGCGTTTTGGATTGGGACGCCCGGCTCAAGAGTTTCTAACTTTCGTGTCGAAGGTTTCGGGCTTACACTTGCCATTATGAGGCTTCGACACCGAGTAATACTCGTTTGTAGTACCATTTGTAGCAAATCATGTCGTTTTTAGCTCGTTTGAGTCTGAGCATTTTTTTCCACGCCTCGTATAACCGTCGAGTCGCTCCGTCGAACAGGAAGTGTGGGGCAGTTTAGGGCTTAAAGGTCTAGGAATAGGATTTTCGGGTTTGGGGTTTGGGGTTGGCTGTGGAGTGTTCGTGCCCTAGAGCCACTTAGTCTCCTGAGGCCCTCGCGGCAGCCCTGGAGCCCTGCAGTCCCCGGAAGCCGTACGGCCCGACCTGGACCCAATCAAACCTACCCTTTCTTTGGGCACCTTCTTATGATTTCTTTATTTATAGAAGCTGGTGCCGCTTTTTTCCGAAGCTTTTGGAATATCTTTCCTTAAAGCTTTCTACCGTTTTAGGGCCCCTTATTATGATTTCTTGATGTACGTCCTTAAAACGGTAGACTACTTTCATTGGAGTGAAGGTAAACCCTGCCGGAAATCGGTGCAAGGTGCACCTGGTCGAGCAACCCCATGGCATCCTTCGAAGCGACGTGGCAGCTACAACACGAGATGCGGATCCTGATGTAAGGTTTTATGAGTTTTATGTGTTACGGCTTATTTTGGGTTCAATTGGTTTAGGGTTTAACATCTGGGGACGCGCGGCAAAGCCTCACTGCCGCACGCGTGCTCGGGCCGTGTTGATGAGGGAAGCAAGCCTGCTCGAAGTGTGGTGCGAAGGCGGCGGACAGCATCGCTAACTACCAGTGCACGGATGCCGCTGCAAATCGACCATGCGCTCGGCTCGCATGGCTGCGCGCGCCGGGGCAGGCGCGTCGGCGTGGGCAAGTCTGTGCGCGGCAGCGTGGAGAAGTTGGCTGTCCGCCTCGTGGTCAGAGAGCGTGCGCACGTGCTCATGATGGCTCCCGACGGGCCAGCTGCTGATCCGCGTCGCGCCGTCTGCAAGCATATGAGGAAGGCATGGAGCGGGAACGGACACGGCTCACGGGGCTGAGAAGCGGCCACGTCGGGCGACATCGGGCCGTAGGGTTCGGCGGGGCATGGGGCAAAATCGCGAAGCTCGGCGAGGGTGGCAGCGGACCCCGGGGCGAGCGGGTCGGCGACGAGCGCGCGGGCGGAAAGCTCGCTTAGGTGGACGAGTGCTATCGCTCTGCCCGCTCTGGCTGTCGAGGTCCTGAGCCTCTGAGCGCCTGGCGGCCGGCCTGGTAGCACCTGCAGCGGCTTGCTGCAGGAGACGAGGCCATTCGCCGCGCGTGAAGACTTCGCTCCGTGCTGCAAGTGTCCCACATCACGCTGGAGATGCATCCGTGGAGCAAGGGGGAAAGAGTTTCCAGCCCCGAAGCTCATCTCGTGGCGACGCGCAGACGGCAATAAGTTGGATGCCAGTTCGGAAGGCAGTGCGGAGCGTGCCTCGCGACGGAGTGGACGCTTTGTAGAGGCTTGTAGTGTGAGGACACGGCTGCGCAAGGTCTCCTCCAAACAAATGCCGTCCAAGGACTCTAAACCAAACCGACCCGCAGGCCATCCTCGGCGGCCCGGACACGGCGTTGTGCAGCGGTGTTGGCCGCAGCATCTGCTGGTCAAAGGTGTTTGCGAGGTTTCCTCCTGACGGGGCACCCGTTGTCCTCGCCCACGCCCACTTCTGCGTCCGTGTCCGCCCCTGACGATGCTGAGGGGCCCGCTAGGGAGATTCAGATCATGGAGACGCCACGGAGCATGCGGCAGCTAGTCTCCTTCTGCCCCGACTCGCTAGCAGAGGCTTTCGCTAACCACTTCTCCCGGAGACAGGTCCTGGAGCTGTTGGCGAGGCTAGAGGACGCCAAGCTCGCTATGGAGGCCGACCAACCTCCCGCTAAGCCTGCCCGCGCAGCTCCCGGTGGGGCCGGGAGAGCACGTGCGACCGCTCTGGCAACGGCGTCCTCCACCTCCTCAATGCGGGCTGCATCGGCTCTTGACGCGAAGCCGGCATCTTGTGAGTTTGGTAGGCGGGCGCAAAGCCGGCTGGCAGGGCCGGCAGCGCAGCTGCGTTAGGAGCGGAAGGTGCTGCGGGTGCAGCCGGTGCGCGGCGTGTGGAGGCCGGGGCGTGCCTCCATGTGGCATTGCATGCCACCCATCGGCGCCTCTCCCCCAACCAAATGAACTTCCTGGGCTAATCGGGTCTTTTCCATTATTTTACCGGGTCTTAGGATTTTGTTGGTGTTGTTGTTGCTGCTGTTGTTGTTGTTGGCTCCGACGTCG